TCAGTGATAATGACTTGTGAAAATAATCATCGGAGTATAATCACGCTGAAATGAGCTACTGCACTAGTGGTCTGTGTATCAGGAACATAACATTCACCGAATGGTTTCAGTTTTCTCTACTGAATTCCATCGACAATGCATTTCACGATCCACATTTGCTAACACTCACTTAATCCAGTATATAGAGTAAAGTATCCAAGGTGTGGGTGGCCATTAGGAGACGTCTCACACCTATGGTTACCAATTGAGTAAACGTGACAGGGATGTATGAATGACAGTACTAAGCAGACAATATATGCACACGTTTATTCACTCACCCACAGTTCGACAGTCAAACTTGCAGTCGATAGTCATATCACCACTCAATGCAAAACATAGAGTATTTTGTTTGAAACAAAAATATGCTTCTTGCATTTTAAACCGATATTTCGTTTACACAATGCTCAATCTTCATGTTTTACTGAAATACTTATATGTTGTTGGAACATGAAGATAAGTTTTAAGACCATAATTGAGTGCGTGTGATTAGGTGGGATATAGCGTTTTATGACTGAATTTGAGAAATTGCACATAGTATTTGGTCAGTTGGTATATGTTGAGTTGTTGGAATGCGATTCTTTCTCTTTAAACAGTGAAGATGATTATCAGTTATACAAAATGTTTGCTAGAAACCTGTGATTGTTGTTTTTGCCTTCCGGTTATCAATCTCTTATTCAATTCATCAATTTAATAACGTTGTCTATGAACACGCGTTTATGCAGACTATGATGATCAGAAATCGACGTACACTATTGGAAACAATATAGGAATATAGTGTTGAATACTCTTTCTGATTTGTAATCTGGTAAGGATATTGATAAGAGGTTGAAGTGATTCGTTGTGAGATATTCGAGTTTGAATTGAGCAACAAGAACAAAGATTGAATAGTAGCATGGATACAGATCAAACAACTAAATTAGTAGTGATAACGATAATAATATTAATGGAGGAATTGGCATAAATTTTGTAAAGGATGAATAATCTCATGCTGAATAGTAAGAAAGTTTTCGCTCCTGTTAATGTTTTTCAAAAACCAATTTCATTATCAAAAATATATATATCAAAGAAGTTTATTTTCTTGAACAAATCAGTCTGCCTAATTCACCTGTTTCAACGTTTGTCAACATTCCAAAATAACAGTACACTTGGTCAACAGTGAAATGTATCTATCCGCAATACCAGGTAACAATGAGTTTACCTATCATAGCCTGATAATTTGCGTTACAAAAAGAAGAGTTAAGTGACAAACATATGAGAGTGCGTTAGTCACGGTAAGACAATATCGACAACTAAATCTTAGTAGATAGGTGGATTTTGTTTAGGTGATTTTATTCCGGTTGCTTCGGAAAGGCGTAGTAAACTAACGTTCTTTGCTTACGATTCGTCCTAAAGAAGTTAGAGTCATCAGCACAATGGCCACTGTCGAGCAGATGAGGACTGCCCCGTTGTCATAAATCCAAGTTGAAAGCAGCTGACGTAAACCTCGAAATATAATGAGTGCACGTTATTATGATACAACATTTGTATTTGATTTAGTGATATTCACACGTGAGAGTGTTGCGTGAAACCTGTGAATATTGCTGTTATGACCTTGGGTATGTCTGGTTTCGCTATCTCGCGACCTATCTACCAATCCGGATACGACTTATGCGAACTTCACACTAGGCCAACCAATGACGTTCAACCGGTGTGGGCAGTCTAGCGTCCTTATTGGTCCTATGTACTACGAGCCCTTCCACTTGAGTCCAGAATACAATACCAGCTTCGAATTAGGGCAGATCGTTTATTTCAAACATACTCGGTTTATATATCAAACAGACAGACCACAACACACCATAAATTAGGAAATAACATATGTACACAAATAAGCAAAAAAGTGGCTGTGAACGAGGGGGACCGTAATTAATAGACTGAACATAGTTTAAGAACCGTAAATCGTACAATAATAAATTATAGATCAAAATAAAGCTTATAATAAGAGGGATATAAATATACATAATCTAATGATTGAATAGTTTTACAATAAGAATATTTATAGAATATTAGTCCACTAATAGTCCTCGGGAGTTACCTGTAATTTAATCTTCGCTCGGATATAACACCTCCCCTTTTTTTCGAAGATTCCAAGTTTAGATTCGGATTTAAAAAAAAGAATTTTTTTTTTGTAACTTTGAATTCTCCAACATTCTCCTCCTCCTCGAAATAATGTTGGGTCCTTATATCTCCAAGTTACAAATAATAGGACATTATTTAAACGACGTTTCTCGCATTGAATGTCGGATCCACTAGAAACGACTAGATGATAGTGAACAACCTTTGATTTGAGGTCAAAGTTTAATTCTTCTGAAGCATTACTTTCAAATCCATTAGGAATTTCATCAATGGATAATGGATCATTACGGAAATCATCATCTAACAAAATTACATTAGACTTTTGACCATAATTTGACTCAGCCGATATTTTTTTCTCATTTTTATAAATAATTTCATCAAAATTACATGCATTATTCTGAGAACCCATATCTGCTACCTTGTCATTAGATATCGGATAAACTGATTCAATATAAATTTCTGTCTCACAATGATTTTGAGTAACATTCGGTATAATTTGGTTCATCGTGTCACTGCAGTTATTTTCTGAATACGAGTCCCCATAGCTTTCTCGGCTAATATCACGTGGACCATAATTTTGTTCTAGCTGAAATTCATTTTCAGAGCTAGACAGGACCAGTAGTGCTTCATTCAATTCTGGACTCCGGGCTTCATCTACAGGGTCTGGCTCCTGATCATCTGGTATTGTCACAACTTCATGAGCATTCAGCACAGTATTTTCTTGCTCTGAGCCGGACACGTTACAAATATTACGTTCTGATTCAGGTATAAAGGGATTTGAACCCTGCACAGGATATGCTTCTGAAATGTCCATTTCTGCACCATTATCTGCATGATAAATAGATTTCTTGTTTTCTGCTTGAATGCAAAGTCTGCCCAAAACTGTTTCAAATACCTGTTGTTGCAAGGCCAACATCTTCTGCTGGTGTTGTAATATTAACCGCAACTGTTCTAAAGAAATCGACATATTTTTTTTATACCGCCAATAATATTAGCTCCAAAATCACCGGCAATTATAACAGCTAATTTATTTACAAAATCTGAGTCACCACTTGTAGTATATTTTTCCAAAATCCCCGTCGCCAATTGTTATGACCTTGAATCGCTTTTTTTTTTTTAAAAATCCCCGTCGCCAATTGTTATGACCTTGGGTATGTCTGGTTTCGCTATCTCGCGCCCTATCTACCAATCCGGATACGACTTATGCGAACTTCACACTAGGCCAACCAATGACGTTCAACCGGTGTGGGCAGTCTAGCGTCCTTATTGGTCCTATGTACTACGAGCCCTTCCACTTGAGTCCAGAATACAATACCAGCTTCGAATTAGGGCAGATCGTTTATTTCAAACATACTCGGTTTATATATCAAACAGACAGACCACAACACACCATAAATTAGGAAATAACATATGTACACAAATAAGCAAAAAAGTGGCTGTGAACGAGGGGGACCGTAATTAATAGACTGAACATAGTTTAAGAACCGTAAATCGTACAATAATAAATTATAGATCAAAATAAAGCTTATAATAAGAGGGATATAAATATACATAATCTAATGATTGAATAGTTTTACAATAAGAATATTTATAGAATATTAGTCCACTAATAGTCCTCGGGAGTTACCTGTAATTTAATCTTCGCTCGGATATAACAATTGCCAAATGAAAATATTTATCTGAAACTGTCACAACATACCATTTTGTTAATGTGTTCATCAATAACTGGTTTATCATAAGTAGTTTTGATGTTTTGAATTATTCGAATTGTAGTATGAACTAATAATCCCGGAAATAACGCAACTGAATCAAGAAGTACTAGACAAGCACGAACGAATGGATTGTATTTAGAATTCGAAATCAAGCATTCAACAAGTACAAAGGTATCATTAGTTCATTCAAACACCACAGAAGGCTTAGGCTTTTACTTACGCATCATTCTTGCATATTTAGCATGAATGGAATATACACTTCACATTATATTATCACAGCGGTTTATACTCATTTTTATTGATTTTCAGTTTCAACAGTCACAGTTGTAATTGCACATGTGCGTCTGGTTCAAGAAATCGTTCACAATTCTTAACAGTTCAGATTCAATGATAGGCGTTGTTTTTCTCTGAATACAATCATTGGCAACTTTGATCTACATAATTGAACATATTCAGATCCATTTCTACATGATCAATACAAAAATTACTATCGCTTTTCATCTGAACATCTATTGACAGTTAGTGGTATAATATAGTGAAAAAATTGAATAGACGTGGCTTTGTTCATGAGTTAAAGTTTCATATTAAACGATTATTAAATCGTCTGACAGAATCTTTTCATTCACTTGGTAAAGTGAAAATTTTGGCATCAAATCAAAGCAGTTTGTGCTCTTCTGATTTTAACCAATCAAATCGAAACAACGCATCAGTCAGTGACGGTCAATTGACAGCATATTACAGGAACTAAGTTGTTCGTTCGCGTACATATGAGCACACATTTTGAACCACAATTTAACCAATCACTAATTTTGGAGTATTGATAATCATATCCGAAAATCTTTTCATGCATGGGGGTGAAGAATTCTATCCACTGGTAAACATAAATCAGCTTGTGTTCTCAACAGTCATAAGAATATGCACTAGCGACTAGTTCACCCTGCTCCATGATTCTTCAACAATGAGCATATGATTTTAACAAAATTGGTCTTCTAGACAGTCACTTTGAATCAACGAATAAAAACGAAACAAACAAACTAAAAAAACGTGTATATAAACCCAGCAAGTTTCAGTTAAATTTAACTGAGTACATCAAACGAGATGAGGTGAGTGTTAGCTGAATACACGAACTAAATGAGTGTATCATAAAAATTGGAATTTGATTCGATGAGATAACATTGATTTGTTCATCTGAACCATTTTAGATACACCTTTTCGTCAAGTATATCTATACCACTTTATTTGGCCATCGTATTGCTTTACAAATTTTTCGAGTGTCAGGATATCTGTGAGAAACTACAATTACAGCACCATAAGAAAGTAATTTTTGAGAATGGTTCATATCAATATGTAAGTAATCAGTTCAATTTTAATCCACATACTCAGTCTCATCATTACAATTACTCAATGAGAATCAGTCTTAATCAGTCTCATTCAGTAGTGAATGGCACTTTCAATAAATATCTTAATGTTCAAGTGAGTTGAATACATTTTGTAAACGAGGAATATAAATGTATGTTCGGATCATTTTAGAGTATAATACCAAAATTCTCGTTTCAAATTTACGATAACAACGTCACAGAATATGAAGTTGGCTATAAGGGTAAGTCAAAAATTATCGTTGAACTAAAATTGTTATTGAGTTTTCTTGATTCTATTTCATCCCATCAATAAAAGTTGATTCAATTTCTATGCCAGCTGTGACTTGCAAATAGTTCTTGGATATCTATTCCTGTTTGAAGGGTCGATAATCCGATGTCTTACAGTAGAACAAAGAGAGTTCGTATAATATATTTAAGTCATTAGATTATTTCAAAATCATTTATTTATTCAATGTAAAATTATCAACAAACACGTATGTTTTCATTAAGGTGATACACATCATATTACCATGGACGAAACGCTCGATACGAAAGTCCGCCGTGGATATATACAAATTTCGATACCAGGCAGTTTAAATCATGAATATGATATTCTGAATGAGAGTGAGTTCTTATATTATTCAGTAAAATATATCCTACATTTATATTTGTCACATTTATTCTACACAAATGATTCACTTTTGAGCTTGATTATTAAACATGAATCGACCAATACACAGTGACTATTTGGTTTGTGTTATTTCCAAATCAGAAGATGTGTCATGAACACATATTGATTACTGTTAAATGAATATGTAAAATAAAGAAGATAGTTTCTTCAAAATAAACAAAAATTGAATGCGTAGAAATTACAAACTAAATGATCCAAATACCAGGGTGAAAACGACCGACGTTCCAGTCATTCAACATTTCAGTAAAGGAGATACATTACCGACACGATTCCTTTTGGCTGCCAAAATCGATCAAACCAATCACATGTGCAACAATAAGCAATGTTGTGACAGAAGTCAGTTTGGATTATTGAAACCTATGAACTATCGAGTTATATTTGATGTCTTCCAATACTTTTCCAGCACTTACTTGATTCATGAAAGTTTAAAGTCTCTGAGATACTGTCTGTTGATCATCAAAATATTCAACTCTATCGTTGTAATCATATTCGTATGATTATCAAATTCGAATCCGTTCACTTCCCAAAAACGCTGGCCAATAAACGACTATGAACTGTCTGCCAGTACAATATGGATTACTTAAACTGGAACACTTGAAACATGACGTTTACACCGGTTCAATTTTGTCAGTTATCAGAATCTCAGAAATCGATCTTGTATAGATCAATTTTCAGATAGAAATTAACGGTCTATTACTCAGTCAAACGCTTATGGAACAAACTTTATAGAAGTGAAATATTCCTCTCAATTGATTGCATCGGAACGTTCATCTTATCGTTGGAATGATATTATTTCTTGCAACGTCCTCATAATAGATGATTGGTTGTTTAAGCACATAGATTCATTTAATTCTCGGGACAATGATGACAATTTGTTTGCAATGGCAATCCGCGGTAAAATCTACATATATTGAAAGAAGTAGATATTCGTTTTTCTGATATTTAAACATCTATTTCATCATTTCAGATGAATTAGTCGCTGTCAAATGGTCTGTCAATGTAGGATATAATGGTACACGTGAGTCAAAATCAAATGTTTTATTGTTCACATGTGGAGCTTGCACATTTATATACTTCACTCACTGTAATTACTCACAGTTTGCGCGAATTATGGATATACACTACTCCGACTATCAGATCTTAATGGTAAAATTGACGATTTATTCTTTTAATAATGGTACAATAGTAATATAGCTTTAGAAACTAGGCTTTTGACATTCATTTCTATAGGTGCATGATTGTTTTATTCACTTGACGTTCATTATGAATTCAATTGAAGATAACATTTGAGATAACACAGTAAGTATCCATTAAAATCTGATCACATTGTGAGTAGACATACACAGTGTTACATCTAACAATAACCTGCTTGTTATTTATTTTTCAAATGTTAAGTATCGACAGTCTTCTCCTTGTAGAGGATACAGCCAAAATAACTTGTCTGATACAACCGAATAGGAAGATATCTATCTATTATGAGAACGTGAGTTGCACAATTGAATGGAAATATTATTTTATTTCAAGTACTTCATATTATTCTACTAGTTCATGATTATGAGTACTGTCGAATGTATGAAGTTACATTGAATACCATAAAAATATATCAACATTTTGTAATGTGCAACAGGCAATCTGACTCTAATAATAATCCCTTAAGAGCACACTTTATTCAAGCACTTGTTAAAAATAGTGAGTAATTTGAAGTGAGGTGCTCTCAGAGGAAACAATAGTGTGTTCTTTTCGAATGTTAACGGACAGTGTATGTTAGATTACGGTGCAAAATGAGTCATATTCTGTCATGTTTTACTTCGTCATTTGAAGACCGGAACATTCGCCACTGAACATTATGATCTCTATATTCTTGCAGTTACTCACTATCACATTTCATTTCAGCTGACGGAGATATTCACTCTACATGTCAAAACGGATAAATATTTCTTTGATATTTACTGAAGTTGACAACTAAAGTGATTCACAATATCTATGCAGATCATGTGGAACCTACATTGGTGTGACTATAATTCACGAACGAATCAATCAGACTTAGTATATCAGGTCTTAGATTTTGGCGTGAAATTCATTCATCCGCTTGGAGATATAGAGTCTTGGCATTATAACTGATGTCAGATCGTGATGAAAACACTAAATCTGATTCCTAACCATCAATTGTAAATCATAAACTTTATTCTTCAAACTGCTTTATAACCCTCATTTAGCCATGGTAAGTAGGCAGATACTCTCAAGGTCACTTCGACGTCCCTCAATAATCGTCCACACAGTATAGTTTCATCCATACAGACAAGAAAACTGAGAATATCGACATGCTTAATGTAAGTGTGACTGGTTGTCTGAAAGACGATCAATTATTTCAAAGATTATTTGATTACTATAATGATAGTAGCTTACTGACATGTCTTGACTCGAAATTTGTATCCCCTTTTTGCAGATTCCCACGGAAATTGGAGGAAAATGTCTGACGGAAATTGGAAACATTTTCACCTGTAAAAAAAGTAAGAAACATTTCGACGAATGTTGTTAATATTTTGATGTACAGATTATTCCTTCATTTTATCAGACTGATCTAGTATAGCTTTCTTACAGTATGCGTTAACCAGTTGTTTCGTGTGTAATATCAGCTGGAGGAAAAATCATTGGAGGTTTGCTGATAATTGTGCGAAATGAAGTTGGTTTAGTATTGGTAAACATACTGTCTAAATGTTGCTGAATATTGGACATTTAACATCAGATGAATGTTCGCAATTATTGTATCGAAATTGCATTTTCATACCTGATTATGATTAACAATGTCAACCAATTATGAAAGTGTTTGATATTTGTGATGAGCTCTTTTAAAAACAGGACCACTATAATGAACAGAATTAAAATTCGAGTATTTATGTCTTCAGTTTAACAACTATCATACGTCATAATGCCACGGAAATGATCTTAGTTATTGAAATGAGATTGTCATATTGTTTTTTCAGTTTTCTTTACTAAATTCCATCGATAATGGATTTCACGATCCACATAAGCAGTCGCTCACTTAAGCAGATATTTCTAGTCAACGACCGAATGTATGGAGTAATATTAGGAGACATCTCACACTTATGTTTACAGATGGACTCATCCAGATTAGGATATATGTATGTTAGTATTATGCAGACGATATAAACACTTATTTATTTACTGACATATTAACAGTAAAACAGTCAGACTTGCAGTCCGCAATCATATGATCACTCAGTGCAAATTGAAGTGTGTTTAGTATGAAACAGAAATAAGACAGTGGTACATGGATCTGATATTTCCTTTATAAAATGCTCAATCGTCATGCTTCAGTGAAAAGATCATCTGTTGCTAGAAGATGAAGCTAAGTTTCTAGACGAGCTCTGAGTGTAAATTATTTGGTATGATACAGTGTTTTATGATTGAACAAGAGATAATGCACTAAATGTTTGGTCAAATGGTATAAATAGATCTGTTGATGTGCATTACTGAGACTTTAAATAATGAAGATAATTATCACTTTTGTTATGTTTGCGTTTAACGTCATATCGATGTTCAGAACTGAAGTTGACCGATATTATTTTATGATTACGAGTTGAATTTTGATCACTTTTACAACTCAGATGGATTTAAACTGTGGGATTCGAAGATGTTGTTTGTTCACCACCGTATCGTTTACGAGAAATATTTCTGTTTCTTAATTTAACTGCTACTTTATATAGTACAAACAACTTGTAATACTTGGAAAGCAATCTGAGTTTTAAACGTCTCTTTCTGTTAAAGATTTCACCAAAAGATACATATTAGGTTTTATACCTGTTCCTGAAAAATGGATCAAAAGAGGAACGTTAGTTGTGTATGAAGCCATTGGGAGTATGTTAAATTTTGTCTAATGAGCATTAACTATTTTCACGCTTGAATGAACCAGTTTTGTTTCATCAGATTAAAACTTCCGTATGTAACTGAATTCAGCCACAAAAAGATATCTAGGCATCCGTCTTAAATGACGTTTCAGTCACCAACAATAAATAAACGTCGATTCAGTGTTGAATATATAAAGCTATTAATTACCCATTTGCACGTAATATCAAAGTCTTCGCTGTGGTGAAATTTAGTGCAATATCTTGTCACAAAACGATCGGTGAGTTGACATTAGTTTCCAAAGAGTTGATTCTGTATTGAAGAGGAAACGTCCGTTTTTTCTTTTGACATATGTGATATCAAATTTTCAAGAACTGTTGAAATTGCCAACACCATTTAATTGCGGTTACATAGAAAAGGATTGCCTATCTTCCAATATATGGGCTATGTCGTGCACATTCTATAAATTAAGGGTGTAGACAAATCACTTCTGCAAATTACAATGTATCACAGCCAGTTTCAGAGTTCATTTCATGTTGAGAATATGTGTTCCTTCTCACGGATATGTCCACTGAGTGTATACAAACAATTTTCAGTTTACCACGTGTTGGACTTGTAGTGTCAGTTATTGTGCTAATAAGCCCATATACCTTATTCTAGCTTTCGGACATCCCTTTTTATCCATTCTACTTGAGCCATACTCTGACCTTGTTATTTATTCGCTTATCAATCTAGACTGTTTTTATATGAGCGTATATGTGTGTGCCCTTCTTATCCCATTAATCTCATGTCTGTAGCTTTATTTTGTCTGACTATAAATACTGAGTAACGCTTGACTAAAATGGAGTTGGGTCCCAAGCCATCTTCCCTGCGTGTCATTTTTACTTGGCTTCACCGTGTGTTTGGTTGCTGTATGCTTGCGGATTTTTATTAATCATTAACAATAAGTTATCTCTACAACTAGTGTTCAGGCTTCTGAATAATCTCGAGTAAAATCCGTAATTCTACTAGGAGATTAAGCCTACCAAAAATACTCAGTTTACGGGATATTATTTATTGGAGTCAGAT